GGATTCCTACTCAAGAGACCCAAATGGAAATACATGTCATATATGGGAATTTGGTGGTGGTGGTAGTGGTGGTGATGGTGGTGGTGTTTACCATATAAGGAGCTTTTCATTATCCACCCAACCACATCCCCCAAAATAATTTGCTGTTAGGCAATTCCAACTGGTAAGAGACCAAATAGGACAGAGTAGAACTTGCCCCATAGGCTGAAATCTCTACAGCTGCAGACTATTGCAACGTTTCTCCCTGGGAGCACCTGGGTGCAAACTGTCAACCTTTGGCTTAGCAGCCAACTGTTAAGCCACTGTGTCACTTGGGCTCCTCTCATTACCTACCTAGCAAAGCCTCACAGGTGCCTCAACCCTGGGGTCTTGCTGCTTGTGACAGTAGGAATTCCCTTCTCTGGTAAATGGTAGGTGGTGTGTGGGTGTGCGCCCAGTTCATTAGGGAGGCAGTCTGTGGCTCTCAGTGACGGTTTTCTCCAGCCCTTCCCAAAAGATGGTTTTCACATACTTCACCTTTTGCTAATGCTACATAGCCCACCTAGAAATGGCTAATCCTACCTTGTAATAACTGTTGCTTCTACAGTTTCTTGCTTGTTCTTTCCGAGTTTTGATAAATATGAACTTTCTTCTGTGCTTGTAGAAAGTAGCAAATTACTTCTAAGCAAAAAAAAAAAACAAAAAACAGTTTTCAAGCAAACCTAATATGAATGGACCCTCCCAGAAAAGGATATGCTTCCTGCCATGTGTTAGAAGAAGCCAAATATATCATTGCCTTCCTAGAAATAGTGACTGTTCACCATCCTCCATTTTAGTTGTGAAGTCTTATTGTGAAAGAAACTGGAAGTTTAAAAGTGATAATTGCAAACTACAAAGTGACTTGTTCATTCCCTGGCAGCAGGTTTGCTCTTTCTGTAGTGTCCTCTTGCTTTGTTTTCCCCTTTTAAGTAAGGTGTTGTTGTTTCTCCTGTAGCTCTCGAGGGAGTGCCGAGCTGAAGTCCAGAGGATCCTGCACCAGCGGGCCATGGATGTGAAGCTGGACCCTGCCCTGCAAGACAAGTGCCTGATTGACCTGGGCAAGTGGTGTAGTGAAAAAACGGAGACCGGACAGGTGGGGACTTGCACCCCCGGCAAATACTGTGTTACTGATTTCATGTAGAGGGCAGGCTGCATGAACTCTCTCTCTCTCTTTACTTCATGGACATGATTTATCACATTCAGGGTCCTCTCTATAAGAAATTCTCAGGAATAAGTTCTCATTGTTCTGTAGGTCCGAAATAGTTGTGCTTTCCCTGGACAGCCAGTTCATTTTTGCATTAGTGCACTTTGTAATTAATTATATTCCCCTTTCTGTGTTGTGTGGTAGAAAGTCTGGTATCAAAAGACAAGGATGAGAGATTTCATTTTGTGTGCTAGTGACTCCATTTCCCTTTTCATTGACATCTTTTCCTTTTCCTTCCTCTTTTCTTACTTGTTTTAGTTTATTTTATCTTGCCTTCCCA